AACTGTAACAATATGTTCGAATAAACAGACCTGAGGCATGACCTCACCTTAACTTCAAAAAAAAAAAAAAAAAAAAAAAATTTAGAAGTAATAAAAACTTAGTTTTTATTTTGAACTTTTTACTATAAATTTTTCTTTAAATTTTTTAAAAGTTTATATGTTCTCATTTATAAAATTTTTTTTTTTGCTTCTAATATGAGTTTTAATTTTTACAAGTAAATTATAAAGATTGTTATCTTTCATATAAACTATAATTTCTATTAAGAAATTATAGGTTAAACATTAATATTTAAAAAATTTGTTAAAAAATTATAATATTTTCTTTTAAATTTTGTATATTTTTAACTTATAAGTTAGATTTTTTATAAAAAAATATAATTATTATTTTTAATTTTTATTAAAAAAATTTTAATTAAATGAATTAACTTTTTTAAAAGGCATTATTTTATGATGACAGGTCATCATGGCGACCCTATATAATTGGCCAATCAAAATTAAGCATGTGATTATATAATAAGTTGTTTACTACTAACTAAAATTAGTTACAATTTCATAATAAAAAATTAAAAATAAATTTTACTAACCCTAAATATGATTGGTTGCTATATATAGGGTCACCATGGTGACGGATCGCCATTTATAAATTTTCTTTTTAAAAAAATAGATTATAAGTATTTTTATACGTAGTAAAATTCAAGGCAAATTTCAAGCGGTTTAAGATAGTGAACTCTCGATATAGTGAAGATTCGATACAATGAAGAATTTTGAATTACTGAATTATTAAACTTCAACTCGATAAAATAAAGTACATATAGTATTCTCTCAATATAATCTATATTTTAAGTTTTTTTTCAACCCGACGACTTCACTATAACGTACCTTTATTAAAAAAAAAATAAAAAATAAAAAAGTGTATTCAACACAATCATTTATTTAGGCAATAAGATGTATTTTTATTTAGTCCATTTCATGTTCTTGGAAGACCCTTTGCACGCTTCAATTTCTTTATATCATTTGTTATTTTTTGAATTAATATTTTTTACGTTATTATTTTTTATTGCGGAAGATCAAAAGACTCTTCAATCTTAAAAGTACAAAATAGTGTGTATAAATAAAATACAATATAACTAGATATTCAATTCAAGAATGATTAATGGTCGATGTGGAAACAACCTGCATATAATCTGCATCTAGCAAGACGTATAAATTTTCTTTTATTCTTAATCCTTCCTCGTTCATTCCGTTATAAAATATCCTAACTATAGATGCTGGTGAAACTAGTGACTATCTAAAATCTGATTGGCTGTTATAGTAAATTTGACCAATTTCACCAGTTTCACTAGCATCTATAATCCTAATCGCTGCCGCTGAATTTGAACTTCCATCAATTTCTCAAATGTTAAGTTTACCAATTCCTAGATCAACAAAACGTCACGAGATGCTATTATCGAATTGGCCACTATCTGCATGCTTTCAATTATTGATCCGGACTTTAAGATTTTAAAAACTCAGATCAGCGCGTATTATATGTAACGTATAATGCAATCGTACCTGAGTTACATCTCCATTTGGGTGCTGCCAAGTGAAAACCTGACATTCTAAAAATAGATTTCTACGGACAACGGAACACGGACTTTAAATGAGACTACTATGTGATCAAAAAAACAGTATAATTCATTATTCTAGTCAGATTAGTTCAAACTCCGCATTCCGTTGTTCATAGCAATCTATTTTTAGAATGTCGGGTTTTCACTTGGCGGCACCCATTTGTTAGTAGACTAGATTTTCTATATTAGTTTTACTTGATTTATATCCCATTTTATATTAATTTTTAGGTATATCCCTATCCCCGATAATAGCTACAGTCAAAGATTATAAAATAGCATATAAAATACCTAAGGTATATCCCAGAAATTGTTATACAAATAATACTATTAGTCAATAAATCATTAAACTAATTATATAAATTTAAAAATTGTGATTTAATTGATTGCCAAACACATGGTCAGAGTGCAAAACTCAAGTTATACCACCAAAAATGCTCTGGAAAAAAGATATATATAATTCAGGTATGACTGTATGTCGCTTTTCAGATTTTTAATGGATAATTCCTGAAGCTCAGAACAAGATATAATTGAAAATTCAATGACAAGTTTTCCTTTGACTGAACTCATATTCAATTTATATATTGAAAACTTCGCAAATTTTAAACTCAAACTCAATGGTGATAGATTTACTTGCAAACCTATTAAAGTATGGCATTAGACTTCTTAATTACTTTTTGAACTGATGTATTTTTTTTATTTAGATACAAAATATATTGTATAAGGTTTATCTTAAAAATTTTTTTTTTGTTTTTTTTTATAAATTCTGATCCGAACCAAATAGGTGATTTTTAAATAACTAATTTTAAATGATTTTTTGGTAGATTAATAATTAAATAAGTTTTGCCTCATGATCATAAAAGCTAAGAATTCTAAGAATGAACTTATTTAAATGGTTAAAAAATTTTTAGATGCATTTATTAACTTTATTATAATATTTAGGATTAGACTTGATAATAAAAAGACATAAATGAATTCAATAGGGTTATATATCCAAAGAGGCTCTATTAGCTTCAGCCACTACAACGATGACTAAATTATAAACTCTATTTAATATGTACTATATAATAGAGATCTACTATCTCTAACCTAATTCTGGTTATGATCTACTTTCTGTGGTGGAAATACGTAGCAAAATAACATGGTGGATATAGTAGATCCGATATAAATTAGATAAATTAGATAAATTATAATTGTTACGGATGTGAACCATTAATGTTTTCGACATGTCATCTCGCGCATGCTAATGTGCGTGAAACCTAAAAATGTTCACACAATATTAAAGTTGATTAACAACTTGATTATTTGTTGTATTAGAAGCTTCAACTCTTCCAGGTGTTTGAACGTTTTGTTGTCTAAGTTCAACAATTTTAGTATAATCAGCAATAATCTTGGCAAAATAAGCCTATGGAATTCGAATAAATGAATCATTAATTAACTAATTTTTCACCAAAATTTAAAACTTAAACCAAGTACAGTAAACATACCCCAATCAAAGGTCCAACAAATAGATAAATTGTAATGCCCGGGTAAGATCCCAGAATGCCGTTTGAAGAAACAACGATGATAAAATAAATGGCATATATAAGATGAAGAATTACGGCCAAAATAAAAAGTCCAGAAAAAATTTTTAATGATTGTACTGATTCCTGCTTATTTGAACAGAGAAAATTAATGGTATTTTTATAACCTTTTGATATATAATAATTGTTGTACATCACATACCCCGCAGTTGACAGCGAATAATCCAAAAAGAGTTATGGCAACTGTTAAACAATTTATAACTAAAGCAATATGACCCGTTGATCCAATCTCGTCTAATACAATAAATTTAAATGTTAACACTTTACAAGTAACACTATTGCTATTAAAATTGTATCATCACGTGACCATATATGGAGTGGATCGCGATTTGACATACGTAACCCAAGTAGATTAATCATGTCACAAAAAATTGTCGGTGACGTGATATACAAGCAACACAGACTAATAATCGTAAGACCTTTTTGGATTCCGAATACAGAAATATGATCTGAGTTGCTTGTATATTGCGTCACTGACGATTTTTTGTGACATGACTAATCTACCTGCTAACCTGCTAACCTCCAACAAACTTTAAAGAAGTTTGAACATAACATGTAATACTAGAAGTTTGATGTTATAAAGGGAAAACCTGTCATCGGGCTTTCAACTATATTTTGTATCGAAAACAATCTGTTTAGTTTGTTAGAGATTGTGTCAGGTACAAAATATGATTGAAAGCCTAATGACAGATTTTCCCTTGATGACATTCATATGGAAAAGATAAATGAGCAAATAGCTTACACAAGTAAGGATCAGAAAGGAGCATATAATTCTGAACAGCGCCAACTATTCCTCCACACTAAAAAAAAATAAAAGAAAAAATTGGACAATTTTAATTATCACATGTAAAAAATTTTTTATTTAAAAATATCAAAAAATATTATTAAAAAGCGAATACCATCCATAAAAGTGCTATAATTACAACCGCTTGTTTTGTAGTAACACACATTTTGACTATAAAACAAGATAAATTTCACATTAAACTCGAGTATTTATAATGTTACGGCATTTAGATGACATGCAAAATTCTGTATTACCTACCTATAATAATTAAATCTTACTAATAAGTAAAACTATAACCTTATTTATTCATTCATTTATTATTATTTTCTTTGATAGTTATCTCACACAAGTCTTTAATATATATTGTAAGAGAATTGTATATAAGTTAACTGAATTATGTAAGTCAGTTATGATATAAACCTCCCTTAATAGGATCTTTTTATAATTTATATATAAAAACCCGATCATCTTCCAGTTACTATACTATTTCCCCGCAATATATTTTTCCTGTATGAAATGTAACATACTTAGGTGATTGATAGGGTCCTGCAAGTGCCGGAATAGTATTATTCAAATGACAATGCCATACTTAGCCCTATGTTTTAAAGTGCCCGTGCTTGCACTTGCGATTTACGGTATTTGTACTGGCTATACGTACAACTTTTTAATTCTATGAAATAGTAAGTAATTAATTTGATAGTGAAAGAATAAAAATGTCGTAAAATTTTGCATATAGAAGCCGATACTCTATTCTCATAGCCTCTAAATCTAAAGTTCGATCATTGATTCTTCACATATGTACTTTGTATTTGTGTGTTTGATTTCTTTTGAGAAATTTGTGTAATCGGCACAAAATTAGTGATCCCTGATGGCAACTTATTTTGATAATTACTAATAAATAACCATTAAATTTAATTACGCCTTATAAATAATTTGGAATTTGAATGGCAACTATAAATTGTGTACCACCCAATTGTCTTGTATGTATTGTTCACGTTCTTTACTTTGGATCATTGAGATTTCTATTTTGGTTTTGTACGGACTAGTTTACGCTTGCAATTTTATCAATTTTGTGTTCTTGTTTTTGATTTGCTTAAAATACTCTTTGTATATTTATTATCTATATTAGGAAATATCTTTTAGCACAAATCTCCTGCTTTGAAGAGCATATACTACATATGGATCTCTATTTTTCCAATACTGCAATAAGGGCTAATAAATTATGGTTCACCCCTTGTAATTTGCCCAATCAAAATTTAAGATCAGATGGGCTTGGTGCTACAGAAAAGGGGGAAATCAACAAATTTTTTAAAACCTATTTTTTTGTATAAATCAATTTAGAATAAGATCAGAATTATTTTTCACTTAAAACACAAAAACAATTGTCTTAATAAAATCTTGCAGAATAGCTTTTTGAAATTTGTATTTTCTTATAATTTATTATAAAATTTATAACATAATTGATTTTCGAAGATCTTTTTTTTTGTCAATTTCCCCCTTTTCTGTAACACCAAGCCCAGGTGTAACATGATAACCAAAACCTTGTTTTTTGTTTCCTAAGCAAAAAAATTGCGTGTAAAATTAAATCTAAGAAAACCGCATTATAGTTAGAAAAATGTGATGGTTATTAGTAGAATTTCACGTGAAACATTTTAATTAGGCCGCAGACGATGGTTTCTTAATAAAAATTTCGGGCTATTCCTGTTTTATTTTGTAAAAAAAAAGGGGTCGTTTCGATCTTTACGTTACACCCGATCTTAAATTCGATTGGTCAAAATTACAGAAGGTGAAAAATTTTTTGTGGGGAGCAAGGGAACGTGAAGTTGCAACTTCAGTTGACTGAAGTTACACCTGCCTAAAATTGCTAACTAATGTGTGCGAGATGATCTAATTTTAGAAGGCTAATTTCAGTCAAGTGCAACTTCAGTCAGGTGTCAATTTCAATCATGGCATTACTATTGTTTAATCAATTAATAGCGAAGCTCATAAATGGATCAGTCTGATACAGTCTCTAACAAAACTGGTTCATTGATTTTTCTTTTTTTTTTGGAATATCATGCAGTAATGTTAGGTAAATAGTGGTACGGTAAGGATGTTAGGAAGTCTGGTCTAAACCGATAGACTACAGTTAGTCTTAAGACCAGTCTGAAACTAATAAAAATCAAGTCTGTTCTAATGTTTTTAGCTGAAATTGGTTTGAGCTTGTAGAAATATTTCGACATTTGATATTTAGTCTGCCGAAATTCTAAACTAATACCAAATTCTAAATTATGCCGAAATGTCTAAATAATGTCAAATGTTTAAATTAAAAAATATATAAACTTATTTATTAGCAAGTATTCGAACTGGTTGATTTTGTAAATTTCACGCTATCTTAAAATAGATTTGATCTATAATTGGAATATATAACGATGAGAATTAAATACATAAGTATTCTGCATTCAAAAATGTCTATTAATTAAATTCATCTACAGTCATACCTTAGAGGGAATACCCTATAGGGTAACTTTCTTGTGATTGGTTAATTTTATACACACAGTTTAGAGTACTTTTATGCCTCAACATAGTAAATTTTTTTTAAAAAAAATATAACCGTCGTTCATAATAATACAGAAGACACTTTACGAACGAAACTTTAAGTATCTTGGGTATTTCTGTGATTTACCTTGCCTAAGTATACTTCACTTAGAGACAGTTTTTCAACTTAGAAAAATAGTAATGAGGTATAAACACATTTTTTATTGTGGTTCTGCGCTTCTTTACTGCTGTACTTTTTTATTATTCAATGAAGTATTGAAAATAAAGCTTTATTAATTAAACTTTCAATATATAGAAGTATAAATAAGCGACGCTAATAGTTGTAATACATTGTCTAAAAGTAAGTTTATGAGATTAAAGAAATGAAGATCTATACATATTATTAATATTATACTAAAGGGTTATTAAAAATAGTTGAATAAGCTTTTTAAAGACAAGAACTGCGATGTTTCAGAATAGGGACATTTCGTTATATTAATATAAGAAATTTTAAAGTTCAAAAAATATTTGAATAAAGAAAAAAATCGGTCGAAAGCTTTACTAATAATAAATGTAATTTTAAAATTTTAATTAGCACATGTTCGAATGTTTAGCCAATTATAAATCACCGTTCAATTTACCAATCATGAGAAAGTTATCATATAGGGGAATGCCATAGTCACAAAACATCCATTTTTGATACTCCTGTGCCTACTTTTTTGATACATCTAAACATACCCTAAAACTAACCAATAAAATCGCACGTTATTATAATAAAAGTTAGTAAAAATTTTAGGATATGTTTAGATGTATCAAAAAAGTAGATGCAGAAGTATCAAAAATGAATGTTTTGCGCCATAGTCATGGCGCAAAAATTTGTCGGTTGGCCTCACCATTAATATTAAAAAAAATAAAATAAAATGTCGGTCTCGTGACATCTGAGCTGATCGGTGCTCCAAATCGTACCAAAGGGCCTTAGACAAGTTCTTCATCCAATCACATTTTATGAAAAAACTTTTTAATAGGTATTTTTCTGAGCATAGGTTTTGGTCCGGTTGGCCCGATGATCACGGGACCACGAAGTTCTCGGTTATCTACTGAAAAATTTTCATCGACCATGCTTGTAATTTACGTTTGTTGTCTTTCTACGCCGGAACTATTCGGAGCTTATCTCATAGGCGCAATTTGTCTGATTGGCTAGCTTCGTAGATCAATTTGACTACCCCAGTATCGCCATCAAATTTTCACTTTCACGTGATGATCATCCAATAGCGAGTTTCGTTTTAATGTAACATTACACGATCAGGAAGATCAAAACAAACCGTTCGCTTTTCAAAAATCGCTTATATCTCAAAAACTTGCATAAGAAATCACCTTTGGCGCTCTAACAAAAAAAATTCCTCAAGTGATTTTACTATTACCCACCTAAAACCTAGCCATATTATAAACGCTAACCCTAACTTAAACGAATTTAAAGATTTTAAACGCTGTCACGTGAAAGTGAAAATTTTGATGGCGATACTGGGAAAGTCTCCGGACACTTACCAACCATGTAATAGTTCACGTGATTTTGCACTTACCATTAGGGTTATATTAGCTTTGATTGGTTGGTTTATATTTGATAAGTGCAAAATCACGTGAATGATAAGTGTCCGGAGACTTTCCCGGCGATACTGGGGAAGATGATCAATTTGTAGATATACATGTGATTATTAGCCAATCAAATCATACAATTTGCAATTCGTTATTTTTATAATATTACGCGAAAACTTCAAGAAAAAGTTTATACAAATCAATAAATACGTATGTTTTATTGGTTTACATACGTATAAAAGATAGATAGATGCATATAGAGTAGAGTCAAAATGGTAAAACAAAGCTCGAATCATTAACTCTACTATCTATAAACCCAGGTTGATATCTATAGTTAATAAATACATACGCTTTAACAAACCTAGTCGACTTAAAATATCTTAAATATAAAGCATAGACCTTATACGCGAATAAGCTTATTTCCTTCAAACACCTAACTTGAAATCTCAAGCTTTAAGAAAAAAAAACAACTGCTTTGTCAATAACTACTTTTTTTTTCTTTACCTCTTGCGGAAAGTCGTGTCTAAGCCAACCCCTCTTAGATTAGAGATTATTAGAGATTATTTTTAAAGTTAGCATTCTAGTACTTCTTCGAAGCTAAAGATGATGTTTGTTAAGAATGGTTACTTGTGTAATGTTGCGTTCTCAAAAAGCACTTTAAAACACATAAATAAGTTACCCGGACAATTGATTTACATAGCCAATCAGACGAATTTCTGCCTATGAGAGCTTATCGCCAAAGACTCATAGGCAGTGTTGCGCGGCAAATCGGCGAGTCTGTCGCTAATTCCTTCCAATTCTCGTGTAACCTACGGCGGCTAAGTCGAACTAGGCGTGTTAGATTTGGCTAGTGGGTTATCCGTAGGTAAGTACTAATCTTCTTCTTGCACTAAGTCCTTCCTTTAACCTGTCCTTCTATTAACCCTTGCCTTCTCTTGTCCTTTCTTTACTTCTTTAACGTGGGGTTACGATACGTCGAATCGGGTTGGAGTCCTTCTCTTGCGTTAACGGCTTGGTCACGTGATTTACGGCGAACG